CTACTTTATCATAGTTCGTAACTAAACTCAGATTTGAAGTTATTGTAAAAAATATATTTCATTCAAAATTAAACAAAAAGTTACAATTTTAAGTTTATTCATCGTTTATTCATTTAAGTTTATTCGTCACTTCGTGACGATGGTGATATTGATAATACGATCAATATTGCTCGGAGTTCGGACATCTTTGAACTTAACGTCAATGAATGTGCGTAGGGAATGTTTTAATTTTCTACGACATCTACGCACGTATCCATATTAAAATACGTTATCGATCCTTTCCCTTTTCCCTTTTGTTCTTTTATATACATCAGAGGATGGAGTTCCAGCGCGGGAGATCCAGGCATTCTGCGCCTAACATCCTGTGAGTCTGCGCGTAATAATTTCAAAAGGACTCGGACTATTCAGTACGCGAAAATCTTTCAGTCTATCAAGAACGATCATCCTATCAACATTGCATCGTACGACAATTAAAAGAAGTTATGAAATTACGTGACAATAATTTAAGCAAAAATCGACGCTAAAATAAAATTAAACTTTTATAAATAAAAAGGAAGGATCCAGAACACCTGGGAAAAAGCTAACCATAAATTGTAATCTTAATTTGAAGTTGCTGCTGATTTTCAAAATAAAGAGGAAAAATTCATGCAAGTATATATTTTATATTACATGTATCATATATGTATATAAATTATATGTGCAATATATGATATTTTTAAACGCAATTATTTAAATATAGATAAATAATTAATTTTTTATTTAATTTCTATTATATAGTGATTACAAAATAAAATTGCAAATATATTAGGTGTTGGAATTAATTCGTAGCGTTTTACAAGTGATGAGAAGTACTTTCATTAATGTATTTTTTAATGCTCATGTGAAATAAATAACATTCTTTCATTAAAAAACGCTACGAATTAATTCCAACACCTAATAATTATAAATAAAATATTAAAATTTTTTAAAAATTACGAAACTTTTATCGAAATAAAAAATGTTTATCTCATTTTGATGATACGATCTTATAATTTAATCAAAATGTTTTTATCGCGCGTATCACGACACATAAGGTATTTTAATCATTAATCAGATACACGCATGTACGAGCAAAATAAATAGAACAACTGATAGCTTTTGCACAAACGATTTGTCATGATTTCTTTCTCTTCATTTTGTCATTTCTTCCAAAAAAAATTTACGAAATTTGAATAAATATTTGTTTAAATAGTACACAAATAGGACTATTTACTTACAGTAAATAAATATTTGTTCAATTCAAAAAAATTAAACTTAAATTTAAGTATCATTTATTAAATGCAATAAATATTTTCTGTAAGCAAATAGTCAGACATTTAATAAAAATCTTATATTGCGAATGAAAAAAAAACATTAAGAATATTAAGAGGAAGATGGTTCATCAACCTTTTTGTAACTCGAAATAGAAATTCAATATTTCAGAAATTTAATACGATACCAATCCTCTCCTTCGGGCTGTAAATATCCGTGAAATTTATTATTCGAATAAATTCAAATATACGATTCCTGATATTCTGTAATGCGCAAAATATATTCAAGAATCATCGAATCAAACAATCTTAATGATTATGATAAAAATTTATTTATTCAAATCTATTAACATATTAAATAAAAATAATATAGTTAATATAAATATTATAATATTCAAAAAGAAAATATAAAATTTTCTTATTAATATAAAATATAAAATTTATACTATTTATTTTCATTTAAAAAATTTGCAAACATCCTAGTGTCTTTTCCAATTATTCAAACTACACAAGAGAAAATACAATTATTACATTCGTATTGTCTTTTGAACAATGTTCACTTTCTTCGTGCTGACTATGCTAATAATAAATATTTTCTAATATATGTATTTATAGTCAATATGAAAATAAAGAAACAAAGTTGAAATAAAATCTGCCTAAAAATAATATCTGCTGGAATATATATGTATCTTATACATTTATACTCTTAAATTTGTCAAAATTTTTTTTCAATCAATCATTAAGAGCTAATTATTTTTATTTAATTTTAATTAATTAATAGAATTAAAGAAATTTAATTAATATCATATTAGTTTTAAAATTAAACATTTATATACAATATTTTTACAAAAATTATCAGATTTTTTAAATAATGCGATCGAGCATATGATTTCATATATATTTTTATAAATTTTAACTTTTACTAAGAAATTTGTAATATTTCAGTCAAATAATAAAATATTTTAATGTGTTCAAATATATTTGAAAAAAAAATTTTATCTCTATTTTTATCTAAGAAAAATTACATTAGTTTTTAATAAGAAATATCAATCTATATATCAAATATTACTAAACACTTTTTGTTTACTTCGTATGGAGGTAATATAAAGAATCACTAGCAATCAATCTTTCTTATTTGACCCTTCTGTTTCAACTTGTATAGAATCGAAACAATGCGAGAGTTTTAGAAACGCAACTTTTTCGTTCAAACAAAAAGTTATTTATTAAGCTTAAATTGAAAATATAATACTGCTTATAATAAGAAATATGTCAAACAGCATAATACTTGTAAAAACATATATACTTTATTAAAATTAAAAAATTAAAATTAAATTATAAACGAAATTTGCATTTAATCTGCAATATCTTAAAGGAATATTAAATTAATTTTAAACATTAATTGTTAACTTATAAAGAATTTCGTTAACTCTAGATTATTAATCATTAATTTTTTATTAATTAATATCCTAACTAAACAATTTAATTAGAAAATAAATAGTAATTCAAGAGTAAATCTTTGAAATGAAATCTTTATATCGGTAGCGATAGAAAACTATTGTGCAATTTTTATTTTTTCCTTAGAAAATGATTTTACACGTTTTGGTTCATTGAAAAAAAATGCCAGAAATTTAATTGCTCTTCAAAGTGAACAAAAAAAGATACAAGTGTAAATAATAGTAATTAATGATTAAATAGTAGTTGGAATTTAGGAACTTTGTCAAGAAAAAACTCTCGATCGTTAGAAAGAGCAGATAGATGGAAAAATTATTGGAAACACATCTTTTCAGAAACATTCCACTTATATAATATTATTAGGTGTTGGAATTAATTCGTAGCGTTTTTTAATGAAAGAATGTTATTTATTTCACATGAGCATTAAAAAATACATTAATGAAAGTACTTCCCATCACTTGTAAAACGCTACGAATTAATTCCAACATCTAATATAATATTTCTCTGTCGAATCAACATATATTTCTTAATCGACATATAGACCTTTTTTGTAATAACTAGCTAAAAAATTAAGTTTTATAAAAAATATCACTTTCATGATTTCATGGTTTGTTTTATTATCAGAAAATATTAAGAATAAATAATATTTTACGTATTTAAGAAATATAATATTTAGAAAAGGAAGTACTTATATTTTAATCTTGTAATATATTTACTATGAACTTTGTTTACGCTTTTATTTTTTATTATACTTTCAGTTAATGTTTGACGTAGAATCTTTCTTCATCAAATATAAATTATATTTTCAGATCAAAGTTTGTAACAAAGCGAAGTAACAGTACAAGCATGTCGACAGAACTCATGAACGCAACAATGATTAACGAAATGACACAGAGTGAGATTACATCCAGTGAAATTAAAAATATTAAAATATTATACTTATATGGCGTATCACTTTTAATGTTGTTCTGTGTCATTTCAATAATTGTAAATATAAAAATCTTAATAACCACGTTCTGGATTAAGTGTCCGCTTAGTCCAACATTATATATTAGTTTGAGTCTAACAGGTATTATATTGATAGAAATGTGACATAAATAAAAAATTAGCATTTTTGAGATAATAGAAGTAAATTGACCTTAAAACACTTCTTGAAGAAAATTATGTGAAAATAATTTTTTACAGGTGCAGATGCTTTTTCCAGCTTTTTTCTGGGAATAGAACTGTTGCTGAATAGTTTCATACCTATTGGTCTCGGAATCGAATTGAAAGGTAAAATTCGGTTATAAATCATTTTTAATTAATTAAATATAGACGATTTTTATGTAAACTTTAAACGTAATTCATCTTTGCGCTCTACAAATTTTTAATCTTTAAATCTTAAAAATTAACATTTATCAAATAATAGAAAAAAACTGAATTCGAAAAGATAACTTTCAAAAAGATATATTTAATAATTCTTTTATTTTATGATACAGAATATCATAAAAATTTTTCTTTTCTATTCGACTTTCTCAATGCATTACAGAATTAATTATTTTAATAGAGCTTTAAGATGCACAAAGCATAATTTCCACATAAGCAATATAACAGTACTTTGATTTTTTTTTTTAAGAAACCACATCACATTTTATTTAATTCTGTTGTGGGTGTTACATAAATGTTGTGGGTGTTTTATAAATATAAAAATCGAATTTATTAATATAAAAAAATATTCGATCACGTTACTCTTAGGCATAAATTGTTTTTTATTGGCTCTCGAAGTTGTAAGATTGGGAAGCGTGATAATTACAGTATATCATCTATTGGCTTTGGCGGTTAATCATTATTTGGGCATTCTTAAACCACTTCACTACCTTTCAATCATGACACACAGGTAATTTAATTCACTTCTTTGCAGGATTGGAAAAAACCCGAGCTTTTTTTAAAAAAGCTCAGTCTATTAGCTTTTTTGGGGATTGTATTGGATTTTATTGGGATTTTTTGAGTTTTTTGTTATAAAATTGATTATTTGATACTTTTTTTCAGATATATATACAATATATATAATATTTTATAATATTTAAAATTGTAATATAATTTTATTTAAAAGCATATTTGATTTTAATACATATTTGATTTTATATTGGTCCCCTTTCCGTAAATTTACTTGAAATTGAATCTAAATTTAAATATCTATAAAATATGTAATATAAAGAATTTTCATAAGCTGTATTTTGATTTTTTTTTTAGAAAAACCAAGATTTTATTAATTCTGCTGTGGATGTTACCCATTTCTTTCTTTGCGGTATACTTCAATTTAATTGAAAACAATGGTTTCCAATCTGAAGGATGCCGAAACAACATGTAAGTGTAATTGTATCAATTAAATAATTACAATTGTCTAATTACTAATTATTAATTTATTTTTGACTGAAAATGTCCTAACTTTCAGGTTTCTACGTCACCAAAAATTCCGCATTATATTCAGTAACCTGGTTTTTTGGCCCTTCGTTTTAATGGTGTATATTTATATTCATATCCTCTACATAGTCAAGAGACACCAAACAATAAGACTCCGCTTTTACGAAACGGGATCTCCCGCTCAAATAAGAACAACATTACGCAAGAATTCCAACATTAAACAAATGACACGAAACTTTAGAGCTGTCCACACAACGTTATACATACTCGGTAAGACTTTTAATATAAAATACAATATGTATATAATTATTGTATTTTAAAAATTTATATTCTATGTAACTTCTAGGAAGTTTCGTAGTCGGATGGATGCCAGCAGTAATAACGTTTGTGCTGGTTTGTGACGACTGCATATTGCAATTAAATAGGGTGTCGGCGCGTGTGATATTTTTTATCCACGTTATAAATAATGGTCTCATTATCCTAAAAACTTTGGTAAATCCTATTATTTACGCCGCCCAAATGGACGAGATTAAGGTAAATTAGTTTATTACATACGGAGAAAAATAATCTGCTGGCATAGCAGATTTTATGCTACTATAACAAAATCTATCAGTTACTATGTGAACAGCAAAGAGATGTGTTAAAAGTACTGATTGTGACTTATTTGCTGGATATAATTTAGCTAAAACTACAAATTATTTTGCTGTAAGAATAAATGAATTGTTGTTTAATCAATTAATTTTTTTTGTTATATTATCAATAAAATTTGTTGCAAAAGCAAAGCACATTTGAAGAACTGTAGCAAGATGATTTTGTTCTATAAACAATTTATTTGAACTACACGAACAAATCAAATTTGCTATTGTAACAAGATATGTTTACTAAATTAATGACATATTGATTGTATGAACGAAATAACTGAAAGAATATTTTAGCAATAATTTGCTATACGAAATCTGTTAGATAATTGGAGAATGCCTGAAGAAATTATTTCAAAATAAATACATCTTTTTAATACATCTCTCGATCAGGCAATAAACATGATCGAGAGATGTATTAAAAAGATGTATTTCTTCGGGCATTCTCCAACTGTCCAGCAGATTTCATATCAATATGAATACACATTGACGTTGAATAAAGTAACAAAAGTATATCATATGAATAAAGTAATAAAAGTATATAAAAGTGAATAATAGGAAAAATGAAAATAAAATATTGAGAGATCACTCGCAACAACACGCAACGATGAACGCAACGATGTTATAATAACAGAAGACTCTAGAAAAGAGATGACAGTCATTTCGTATAATAGAAGGCGCATCCTAACAAATCAAATTTTGCTATAATAACAAATCAATTACAATAACAAATTTCTTTTACTATCATAATGGATTTGAATAAGCTAGCAGTAATAATTTTGTTCCAATAGTAAATTTTGCTTTAACAGCAAATTAATTTTAGTTCTAAAGACAAAGACACACAGCAAATTTTTTCTATTTTAGCAACAAAATAAATTCTACTCTAATAACAAATAATTTCTAAAACTGATTATATCAACTAAATTTTATCGTTACCATTACGAATAAAAATACTAAAATTTTATCAAATTAAATTTTGCATGAAATTAAATAAATAATTTTGTGTTATGTACTTATTTGCAAAATTACAATATGACTATGAAATTATGAATTCTCTTGCATCTTAATTATCTTATTTGATTATTTTGAAAGTATATACGTTAATGTTGTTTCTAGTTGACTAGGAAGCATTAAATCATTTTTTCAAATATTTTTAAAAATATTAATCCCTGAAACAAAATGACATTAGAATTTTTTTATTATATACATTAAATATCTCTTTTATGAAGAGTTTATATGTTTAAAATTTTGAAAATAAATTTTACATATGAATATAAATTTAAAAAATGGATAAAACGCGCTTTTTTAGATCGCCACGAGACGAATGCATGACGCCTTCTGCGGATGGTCAAAGCTCACTCATTTTACCACTGGCCGAAGGATCAATAGTGTTCGAAAAAGAACGGAAACAGAAAGATCAATCGGCGAGACCGCGCTATAAACTCGTTAAGGCAAATCAAAAATTTTTATATCCAATAAATTAAAACTATTAAGGTTACAAGACAAAATAATACATTATATGATAATATTTCGAATGTACAAATAACAATCGTTTCTATCTCCCACAGGTCATTATCAATGTTAAAGACAATTATCGGTTTTTGAAAGATTACAGTTAAAATTAAAATTCACGCATGTTTGAGCGGAAAGTTATTTGCGTTGCTTACAAAATGCGGTTAGATCTTTATGTACATGTATCTTCCATAGGTACTTCACGGAGTAAAAAGAAAGACCAAACTCAAGCGGCCGAAAAAAATGGGTTCGAAATACGGTGTCGGAAAAGCGCTGTATGGAAGAATAGAAATTCTCTAGTAAGAATTAAGACACCGAGTAATGATTTTTTATTGGTTCCACCATATATAAGGAAAAAGTAGTGTATACAAAACAGAATATACAAAATGATAGATGGTATGTATGTACATGGTGATGAATTCAATAAATATTGATGTAACATTAAATCATTTTTCTTTATAGTAATTATTTTAAACAAAATATTTGTATTATTTTAATACTATTTTTATGTATAGGCATATAGTCTATAACTTCAAACTTACGTACACAAAAATATATAAATGTAAAAGTATATTATTTTAAAGCTAATTTATAGATAAAATGCCTAACTGTGATGCAGAAGGTTGTAAAAATTCCTCGAAGGAAGGTTATAAAATATGTTCTATTCCTATAAAAAATAAAGAAAGATGTGCAATTTGGGTTGCAAATATACCTAAAAAATATGCAAAAACTGGACACCTACAAAATATTCCGTATTATGTCAGGTGGTATTCTAAAAATTCATATTCTTATATATATCCAGCAAACAAGGACGTTTCAATGATGTCTTATTGACTTTAGGGACATTATTTAACGTCATTTTATTTACTGAATATATGTATATACATATATACACGGAAAAAAACACAGCTGAAAACTTCACTGATTCAGCAAATCTGCAGTTGTCATATACAGATAGTCAATTTTCTATGTTAAAATAGCAAAGTTGACAGCTGAATAACATTAGCGATTTATTAAACCATCAAATCTTCTTAGCTGTCGATGTTGAATTCGTGTAGTAAATCATAGATTTGCTATACCACCCAATTAATTTTTTTTCCGTGTGTATATATGTATTAATACATATATGTGTATATATATATATATATATTAATACAATGTGATATAATGAGAATACATAAAAAAGAATTAATCTATTATTAATAAATTTATTATTTATAGATTCATTTTGAGCCTGAAATGTGGGAACGACTTCAAGCGGATAGCACATTAAAATTAAAACATAATGCTGTGCCTACTTTATTTAATCAAGATGGTAATTTATTTTTTTGTTTAATTCATTATCACTTCTTCATTATCACTTATATTATTAATTTTATAAAAATTTATAAAAGTATAGTCATCTATATGTTATGATAAATAATAATAAATAACATAATAATATGTTAATAATAATTATTAGTAATAATTATTATGTAATTAGTGTTAATATTTATAACTGTGGACTTTATTATAATAATGTATAACTTTTTGTACATACACACATGCGCGCACACACAAACTGAGTTGGCCTTTTTCAGTTATTTTTCACTTTATTAAAATAACTATTCGCTGTCAAGGAAGTGTCTAGACCAAACCAAGTTTGCTAGCGGCGCCAGTTTTTTTATACAAAAATTTTTTTATTTCAATTAGATACTCTTATTTTCACGTATTTTTGTTTAAAAAGTCATTTTTTTCTTTAAGGAGCACATATATAAACGCGTATGATAATTTATGTAATGTTTTTTTGAGAAGAGCACGCATAGTTGGCGCCTTTTTTTTAGCTTTTTTTAAAAAGATATGACTTGAAGATAACATCTGTTCCTATAATCTGCATATTAATTTTACATATTAATTTATTTTTATATATATTATAATACTATTTTAATCAAATTTATTCTAAACATAAATATTCTAAGTAAGTATATTTTATTTATGACCAATTTTATCTCATGAAATTTTTTATTAATTGAATATTGAATCTGCATTTCATTCTTATTTGAAATTTTTCGATAGAGAAAAAAGATATTTAAATACATAAATATGAAAAAGAAAGAATATATTGTCGCAAAGTTGTCCTTAATTTATTTCATAGTTTCTAATAAAAGAATCTCAAGGAATCACAAGAAACATTCCTGAAGTCTGATTTTGATAAGCCTTTAACTTGTCTGGATGAAAATAAAGGACATGATTTTATACGTGCTCGCTTTCATTTTTAGGGAATAAAACATCCCTTGAAAAATACTTAAAAGTAAAAACGGGTATGTACAAAAAATATGTCTCCATTATTTTGGTCTAGATATATTAAAGTTTTCAAAATCGCAGATATTTTCGTGATGTTTCTTGTCAATACATTCCCTCATATTTTTATATTTTTAAAAACTTATTTAAAAGTAGAAAAATGAGGTACAATTTAAAAATATTTAATAACCAGATTAATAACCAGAGAATTATTTTTCTTAAAATGATTATATCTAAAAATAGACAGAATATTGGAGTTAAATTATGCACATATTTGCCCGAAATATTAATATATATCGAATTTTTGCATTTATAAAAGATATATTTCTTTTCATCTTGTCTAATGTATAACTTACCTACCATCCACTGCATCTATAATTTCCGCCCGAATACCGAGTTCTTCGAAAAGTCTATGCATCCTTCTACGTCTTTCTGGTCTTCTTAATAAATTTATCATGTAAATGTTATCCACACCCAGAGTGTCTTTCTCCGGATATATCACGAATTCTTTTAAATCATCCGACAATGGCAAATAATCGCTAAATGCTACAAAACGTAATTTATATCAATCAACTCTGTCAACAGGATAATATTATATTGTATAATAATATTATATTGTAATATTCCTAAATTTGAATATTATCGCATTAAATATTATATCACATAAATTTATTCTTATTCATTTACAATTATTTATTTATTTTATTCATTTATATTATGCTTCTTTTCTTACAGAAGCAAGCTTACCTAACATTTCCACTTTGGTATTAATCAACCGTTGCATATCTTCTGCGATAGTCTCATCATTCTCCAAAGGTACCATAATGAAACCATAAATGTCATCGTTACACACGAACAATGACACATCTATAACATAAACATTGGCTGTATTCCAAAATTCACTGCCAATGCTGAAAATGTATAGTACGTAATGTAAACTGTAGATTTTCAGCGCTGGTAATGAATTTTGAAACACAGTCTACATATATGTTGTACGTAAAAATTTTTAATAATCGAAATCAAATCTAATTCTTTATAAAATTAAAAGTTAAATCAAAATAGTAAGAACAAAATAGGCTAATAATTTTAAAGAATCAGCACTTAATTGGTGCAAATCTTGTATTATTATTTATAATTCATATTTTAACTTTTAAACACATGACAACTTTAATATATATAGATGATAACTTTTAATATTTACCTGATTTATTTGCTCCTATGGCAAAAGTTATGATATCGTCCACTGGTCCATCATAATCAGTCAATTTTTCGGCCTTATAGGTAAGATAATCAGAGTAGCGTCTTCTGAGATCTATGAGTACTACGCTATGGATCATGGGCACATTATGGCAATCAATTTTCTCGCGAAATAGGATCGGCTCGTAGAGCTCTGTTCGCAAATAATAATGTTCCGTTGTCATTCCAGCCCAAAAATTACTATACATGCCATCCGATCTTAATAAAGGCGCAACAACAGTATATTCCTTATGTATCAAATTACGAATAGTGCTTGGATTGATCAAAAAAACGTCAGCATCCAGCATCTGCACACATAAGAAGTTTTCTTTTCTTTCATTTTGTTCTTTTTTTTCATATAGTCTGTAAATATCCGTACATGCATCAGACAAACGAAAAAGTGACGCGATTCTCTATAATGCTACTATAATTTTTTTTTATTATATTGCTACTATAATTTTTTTTTATTATTAGTATTCTTGAAACTTATCTGAAATCATTCACTAGCAAATATTGTCTTACATCCTTAATATAATTATAAACTTTTTTATTATACCATCCATGGTATAATATTATATACATATAATATACACTATTAATTCAATTGTCAGTTACTCGAAGTAATATTTTTTATTATAATTTAATTTAACAGATACAATAAATTATAATTAAAAATTTTACTTCAAATTTGCCAGTTGAATTAATAACCAAAATTAAATTAATTGAAGTTTTTATTAATCAAAGTAACTGCAAGATAACAAAATAAGACTAGCTCACCAAAATAAAATCTGCCCATATTTCTTTTGCATAATCAAGCGCTTGTTCACGTAAATCTATTATATGTGCAAATCTGCGAGGCGACCAATCAGCAATCGATCTCTCATCCTCGAAACCTGTCGACGATGCATTCAAATGTACATTCATCGAATGATACATCTTGCTCCTCGAATTAATCCATTTGTTCAATATCTCGATCGAATTGTCAACATTGTTGTCGCTGCGTATCCTGAAATGATTAACATAAAATCTTCGCATCTTTCTTGAAGAGATTGCACTGTGATATTTTTCGTAGAAATATTTGTAAAAAGTTATCTTAAATCAAGATAAAAGTTAAACTATATTGTTCTAAATGAATATTAACAAATATAATAATACAAATAAAAATAGATAAATCTCCGAAAATCTACAGCGTGATGAAGTCTTCTAAAATTAGCGCAGCACAGACGTCCACATCCGGTATTACATATTCGCGCGTTTGCGAATCGACATGTTTCCGCATGCGCCGCGCATCGATTGGCGGATAACTTCAAATTTATAATATAAATAAATTTGAAATCGTGATAGAACGAATAAAAATGTGACAACAATCAATGGAAGCGATTATTTCGAAGTATTTCTAATTTTCTCGTATTCGTCCATACTTGAGATTTAGTTTTAGTTGATGATTACATATAATCATAATATAAGACAATTTTCAATAAATAATGAAAGTGAATTCTTGCATTATTTTAACATTTCAATGGAAAACGCTGATCAATTTTTTAATTATAAGTACCTCAATATCCAAAAACTGTTATATTGATGAATTTATAAGTGCTTCTTAGTTTTACGATATTTATCGTTACCGAATGAAAGAGTGAGGTTATGTCTAGTCACTCACCAAAAACTTATTCGCTTCTTTGGATAATCTTGGTTCTCTAACAAACTCAGAAAGTACGGCAGCGTGTGTGCCTTATTTCTAACAAGAACACTAATCAACACGGTCGGTTCTTTTAAGATTGTGTCGCACGTAACCAACCACGCAAAACCAATGAGAGAATAAATAATTAAATATCCTCGAAGGATCATCGTGATACAGACATAAAATCGGTACATTTTAATCACACACGTGTCTTTTCGTGTTCGCCTATTAGAAAATTTAGATAGACGAATGTGGAGATTATGTGAAGAGACAACTCCTCTAACATGATCTTTCTATCTCATCATTCTCATCCTATTTTCGTACGTAGGTGTGCGCAATCGATAAAACAGGAAATTATACGCAATGTTCATCACATAGTGGCTGCATTTCGTTAAATGTTTACTGCAGTGTGCAAACGTATACTGAAAATTTATAACGTAATGTGAACTATAAATTTTCAGTATTCACAGTAAATAACAGAACACAGCCAGTGCTGTGACAATCAATCTTATAATATTTTTTATTCAATTTTTTAAATATATGTTTATTTATATAAACTATGTTGTATATATGAATCCTCTGCTTTCCTCTTCTCTTTTTTCCTTGACTTTTTCCTCTTCCTGCCCCCTCCAAGTTTTGTACAAAAAATGTATCACAGAATTTAGACAAATATGTACTTTACTATTATAAAATATACATCGACTGGCAAAATTTTCCTGTACTTTAATCATATTTTTCTTATAATTTAATTTAACTATTTACCGAAGAAATATCTTCTTTTACTTTTACTTCTTTTGTTTTAGTTACTTCTTTTGATTGTATCTTTTTCTTGTATGCATAACTAAGTTTGGCTTTGTCAAATTCTAGAAGCATTATACCTAAATCTCCGCTGTATCTATTCTTTGCAACCTGGATACAGACAAGATAAAATAATTCATTCGTTGAAGATTGAAAAATATTATATTATTCAACAATTGCAGATGTGTAATACATACCTGTAAATATTTCTTTCCTTTTATGCTAGTAAGTCTTTTATCTTGTATAATCAATATATTATCGGCTTCTTGACTTGCTTTGGCACTGCCAAAAATAG